TTTCTTGAAAACCCAAACCTTTCTGCAGTTTTCCAGGCCAAGATTCTGTTTGCCAAGTTTCACTCCAGTTCTTTTTGCACAGTTAGAAGTTCCTCAGTTCTGTGGTTACAGAAATGCTGACACACACAGTTGTATGCCATGGTGTGTATTAGTTACGAGCATTCAATTCATTTTTTCCTTTTAAGGTCATTCTTTCATTAAGTTAGTTTCATACACTGCAGTTTATGATATCAACGCTTTCTCCCTTCCTTCCTTCCTTCTTGGGAAACGAGTGTCATTTAAGAGGGAGGACAGTGTCTGTACTGCAGTTCATTGTCAGATTTGTGGCTTATCAAGAGAAGCTATTCAATGGTTGTATTTAATGGTTCTATTTAATGCTGCCATGCATGCTGCTTTTATTTTATTTCTACCAAGACACTGATCTTCTCTCAGTTTTCATGGCCACTGTCCTGTTGCCAAGCTAACTTTTGAATAGTCTGGGTTAAGCTTATGTTACCACTCAGGCAGTCGACTTTTCAAAAAAGGATAAAACAACCCCTTTGTTTAGAAAAGGAGAGAGGGGAGGAGAGGGAAATGCTTGCTTCAGGTATAGACTTTTTCTGCAGATTCTGAGTGCAGTGAGACAACTTCTTCCCTCACCCCTCTAGCTGCCAGTAGAAATGGATTTATTTACATTAGTGGTGCTACTCTTGGATTGAAAGCCTTCCATTGTTTGGCTGAGCTGATATTTAGTTAACACTTGAGTGCTGCCTGTGTGCAGCATACCCAACTACAGAAATGACCATATTGTACATAACTGTCCATTCTCTCCCTCTTCAGGCTCCCTCCAGCTCCAGCATGTGTGTTTGGATTGTAATGTACCATCCGTGGGCTAAATATTTCTCTTAATCATACAAGATGACTTTCTAAAAACTCAGAAGTGCATGTGTCTGTCTCTGTATTGTTTCCAGAACTGGTAGGCAACATCAGCATTCTGTGGCTGGCTGGGTGAGCCAAATTTGGAAGCAGACTAAATCCCAGAGTAGTCTGGGTCTGGATTCATAAAGATAATACTTCTGGCAGAAAAGGCACTCATCTTGGTCAGAGGTGGCCTTTTAGGATTGTCTTCAGATCTCTCTCTAGCTGCCATGGTCTGTAACTTCAAGAGGAGAGCGTTGCTTTTAGTCTGGTGCATCAGTAAACTTTTTAGTAACTGTGAGAAGGTGTTGCCTCTGAAGTTCCTTTGCCGGAGCATGCAATATGGAGCAGGCAGAAATGACAGTTCTAACATGAGCAACATATCCAAGCATGTCTACATTGCCCCACATAATCCTGTGTGAAAAAATTCAGAAGTAGCACTGACTGAAGGTACAGAGCAGCACCATGATGCAACCAGGAAAGTGGAAATAGTAATTGGAACACTGAACAAGCTTAAACACAGCTCTCCCCTTCTTCCCTCCCCACCCCAAAAAAAGAAAAAGAGCAAAAGCTGTGGTACTGATTAGTTTGAAGATCTTTAGAGCTTCTTGATTCAGACATTATCTTTAGTACTGATGACTATTAGTACTGGTTTAATAATTCAAAAAACAACATAGCTTCTTTCCCCCAGCTTCTTTCTTGGACATGGCAGACTGCTTCTTTGCTGCACTTTTGATGGAGAGGGAATACTCTATAAGACATCTTGGGCAATAACTATTTTTTTTCCTAAAGCCTGCATGGTTGTTCTATAATCAGCGGAATTTTATAATGGAAGATAGTGAAGTCTTGGGGTTCCTCAGTTTTAAATACTGCTATCGTGCATTGCCTGCAGTAGGAGGCAGAAGAAGAGAGATTTCTCAAATAATTTGTCCTTTTATTTGTGATCTAGGTTCCTAGCTTTTCCACCAAGGTGGAGCCATGAGCTGCACACCCTCCATGCCACCCCCACATGTTGTATTTGGCCACATCTCTCAGATGTTCTTTCCTAGGAGTAGAGAGAGAACAAATAGTTCTCCTCTGGGTCAGCAAATGGATGTTGGGGGGGGGGGGTGGGGGGTGTGTTTGGTGTCAGTTTGTCTCTCTTCATCCCCACCTAACTACCTGCTGCCTCTTTTTAAAGCAAAACACTGTGCAGTTAATCTAACAAATCCTTTCAAAAAGGCAGAGAGGAAGCAAGAAAAAGACAGGAGGGTGGGGAAAGCAGAAAACCAGTCTTGTGATTAATGCAGCAAAATGCTTCACTGGTGGCTAGAGAGTCTGATTTTTGGGGACAGAACTGAGGCAAGTGAAGAAAGTCATTGTCATGTTGCTCTTACATATGAATAGCAAATGGCTGTTATAGCATTTCTTTCTCTATCAGCCAAACAGCCTTTTTTATTAGCGTGAGGTTTGGGTTTTGTTTAGTTTTTCTTTTTTCTTTGTGCCAAATGTTCAAGGAACTGCAGCACAAACTATTTCTATTACATGTGTGGCTGAATTGTGTGGAGTGAGAGTATGAGGATGACAAAATTGTGGGTCTTTGAGGGATCTTAAATATGCAGCTCTTTAATTCTAGATTTCTTATGTGTGTATATGATAATAATTTCTGAAGTTCTAGCCTGCCTTTCTTCATTTAATTTCTGAGGTAAAATATTCTTTTAGATCTTTGTTACACTAAAGTTACTGAAACACAATACAGAATTCAACTCCAAGAGGTGTTTTCTTGGATAGCTTTGACCACTGTAGGAGCTTAATGAAAACATCTATAAGCAGAATGGAAGATAGTTTAATATTATACTACTATTACTATGAAATATAATCTCTAAATATTTCAGATAGGGCATAATAATAGTAACCATGGAAACTGCTTGAAGATTTGAAAGGATGGGGCATCTGGTAGGCTCGTTCACTTGTAGGCAGGAGAGAATTCTGAGTTGTGGTTCAGATTGAGGAGGAGAACTGGTAGTAAGGAGAGGAGCTAATGAGAGGGGTTTAGTCATGGCGCAGCGGTGGCTGCACCTTAAGATTAAGTCTGGTTGGTACATGTACGTTATGGTGTTCTTCTCCATAGTGGAGAACTCCTATTTTTATAGAAAAACTGATCTTTCTTAGCCAAATAAATCTGGGCTTATTTCCTCTGCTTGTTTTTTGAGTTAAGGTTTTAGTTGGTTTTTGCTTTTTATTTTCTTGTTTAATTTTTGTGGTGGTGGGTGGTTGGTTGGTAGTTTTAAGGAAGTGGAAACTTCCATAAAAAAAATTTCTGGCTTACACAAACTGATCAGGAGAGGGGGAGGGGGGAAAAAGTAATGTGTGTTTTGGGGTTTAGACCTTTTTTGTTGTTTGTTTTTTTTGTAGCACCTGAGTATTTTGAGCTGGCTCAGTACCTTATTGATCTTGAACAGAAACTAGGACTGATGAGGGAGATCCTAAATCCTTGCCTCAAAGGTTACAGTTTCTAGTATTAAATTTTCTCATGCTTTTATTAAAAACGGTAAATGCTATTAAGAGAAGCTCAATGGCTTTGCCTAGGAGAACACACACACATGTGAGAGAGTGGGACTGTTCATGCTGATACAGGTGTTCAGAAGTTTTGGTGCCCAGCTTGAAGCTCTTACTAGTTGTCTTTGAAACTGTGACTGCTGGTTCCTTTGTGGCACCCTGACTTTGTTCAGTTCACAAAGTCTGTGTATGTGAGAGCAGTGTATTTCTAGTGCATTCTTTATGTGGAGTCTTCTATTTTCTTTTTCATTTTGTTTAACTCTGGCTCAGGAACAATGGTTTTTTAACTTTACAGTATCTCATGTACTGATGCATGCTTCAACCTGCATGGAATGTGGTTTACCATCCATGTGGAGTGACTCATTTTTCACGAATGTTGGGGCAGAGGGCTACCTCAGAAAGTATAATGCATTAAAATTATGAATAAACTTCCCTCTAGAATCTGGAAATTATGTGCTGGCATGCCTTTTCTGGTCCAGAAGGTGCGTAAAAGTCATAGCTTTTAATAAGATTTGCTGGGGATTGCCTAAAACCTGTTAACAAAAGATCAAGCTCTAGTATTGCTTATGGAGGTTTCAGTGATCATTGAACAAAAAAGGGATAAAATGTCTTCCTTCTTTGTCTCCCTTTCCATACACACAATCATTTCAAGTACAGGGATTGAATTAAGTCTTTGAAAAGAACAGTTGAATTTCAGGTATGCTTTGATTATCTTTAGGTTCCTGGATGGAACAAATTCTGTATTACTGTTTTAAAGAGAGAGCCTGGAAACTTGTGACCCTTTGTTTTTATCTTGTATATGCCAGTATGAACTGATACAAATACTCCAGCTCTGATCATACAGCCCTATATGGTACAAGGAAACTAGCTAATTCAACCACATGAGAGTTTTAGGTAATAGTGTCATGTGGGATTATAATTGTCTTGCCTACTTGGCAATATTTTTAGATGAAGCAGGTTTGAGATTCACTGACTTATTTTAGCATTTCTTGAAATAACTTGTTAGAAAGATGGCCTTTTATTTAAGACAGCTGGAACTGGTTGTAGAGTTCAGACATCCTCTGATGCCCCCTGTAGAAATGTAAATAGAAGCAGAAGTGAGATAATGGTCAGAGTATCTACAGTTGGAGAAAATGCCATCCGGTGCCAGAGTGGGGGGCTGGTGGGATTCAGGCACCAGCTGAGCAAAAAGAGCTGAGTGCTGATAGGGTCAGTCTCAACTGCAGACATCCCAGAAGCACAAGAACAGCCTTTTTAAGGCTAAGGCTAGTCTGTGAGACTTTGCTCCTGTGCAGGAAATGTATCTGTTGTTAACAAAACTACTCTCAGTCTTTAACTTTGCTCTTCTGAAGACTTTATAGTCTTAGTATTTTGATGGTTTGTTTTTCAGGTTTTGAATCAAGGTTGTTCAGGAATTGATGCTTTGAAGCAGAAACTGTATAAGATTATAGTTTACTGGGCTTGTTTGTTGGAAATGACTCAGTAATGTTAAAGAGAGTTTTGTCTTTAAGTAGTTCAGTTCATATGCACAGCCCATCTCATTTGTTTCCTCTGTCTTTCTGCAGTTCCCTGCTTCGCTATGGTGGAAACCTCTCACTTCAGAGTGCCATGAGTGTCCGGTTCAACAGCAACGGAACCCAGCTGCTGGCACTGCGTCGGCGCCTTCCCCCAGTCCTCTATGACATCCACTGCCGGCTGCCTGTCTTCCAGTTTGACAACCAAGGGTACTTCAACTCATGTACTATGAAGAGCTGCTGTTTTGCAGGTGATCGTGATCAGGTAATTAGCAAGCAATGCTGTCCAGAGTCTCCAGAGTTTCCATGAGTGCTTGAAAACACCTCTGTAAGGTGTTTTTTTTTTCTGATTCAGGACATAAACCAGGAGGCAGGACACCTCAGAACTGTTTTGCAATGTAGACTCTGAAGGAAGAAAAACATGTACCGAAGCATGTGATAAATTGATAAATTTTCCCTTTTGTTTGATGTGATCTAATACTTACTTGGAAGGTGATATTCACAAGAAAAATATTTGCAGAGGCTTTTTAGGTCCAGTTAATATGATTCTAGAACCATGAGTAGATAGTATTATCTACATATGATAAGGAAGCATCTTCCTTTCATTTAAATACTGCTATTGAGTGCAGTACAGGCAATTCCACACAACATGAAAATTGTGGATTTATAGAGTTGTTGATTCTTACTTCAAATTATATTGTTTCTCCTTTAATACTATACTACTGGATCAGGTTATAGGTCTTTATAGTTCAGTGCTCTGTAAGTGGTGATAGCAGGTGGTTATGAAGGAATAGTTTGTTACTTCACTGAGGCAGGACTCTGTCCCTACTACTAATCACAAAGAAATAGGTCACACACAAAGTGACTAACAGCAGTTTGTGTGATTCTAGATCTGGATATTGGTTTTGCACAGCTGTATTTAGTAACCACTAACACTGTTTAAAGACAAAAAAATGTATTTTCAAGCCATAATAGCATAGAACCAACATCTGAAAATTTCTTTGTGGTTATCAAGAAAATCCCTGCAGTCTGAATTTCATCATTAATTCTATTGCTGCTGCTGCAGGAGGCAGAGTTGAGCTTCTCTCAGACTGCAAGTAGGAAATACATTTGTCGCTAAACTTGAGCAGTGTTGCTGAGTTTACATAGCGTTTGGCAGGAGGAATGTGAAAATGCAGTAACAAAACTATCTTAGAGTAGTTTACTATATAGAATGGACAAACACATGTATTGTTTAAGAATAAAACTTCTGGTAATTTGTGGTCCATTATTTAGTCAGCCTAAAGATGACACTCCTCTCTGGAAGTCAGAGTAGACTGGTGTACACTCTGACATGTAGTTTAGCTTCTCATCTGCTACTGAAGATCTAGATAAAAGCCTTTGTGTCTTTTGTGCTTTCTAAGCCATTTTCTTATGGGTATGGTGTTATTTTAACAGGAAGAATATGGCTGCATTTTTTAAAAACTTGATATTCTTTTGGCTTGATGGACTTTCTGTTTAGATAAGTAGCAGCACATAATGCTACTAACCAGTTGGAAATCAGAGCAAAAGACATTTATATTCCTTTCTAAATGCTGTAAGAAGCTAATAGGGAAGATGAAGTTTAATATGGAATATTAGAGAGATGTGGAATTTGACATTTAGATACCTGCTCATACTCATCCTCTAACTGGAAGGAAAAAGATAATGAAGTTGCTGAAAATGCCAAGATAGATGTTCAGCTGTATATGTCTGAAACTGTCCAGTTACGCTCAAGTTCAACTGATCTAAGATTGTCAACACTGTGGATAGTCCTTAGGGACTGCATTTTACAGAGAAGCCAGTTCCAATTCTAGATGTATATAGAAAAGGTTAGAGTTGGAACATACTGTAAGATACACAAGATGAATAAAAAAAATTTACAGTACTTTTTGAGTTTTACCCTTCTGTGCAACTAGTATGTTTTTGCTTTTTGGTGAGTTTTGTGAGTATGAAATAAAGTGTACAAGACTCCTTGCAAATCAGAATTCAGCCAAAAAAAAAGTAGTAAATCTGTTTCCAATTTAATCTAGTTCCAGTCCCCTCTCCCATTCAATATTGCTGTCCTTTGCCTTAATAAAGAATGTCTTTCATTCTAGATCCATTCAAAGTGATCTTCATAGAATTCCTTGCTTGTATTTCCTTGTAAGATCAAAACTTTGTGTGGGCTAAGGCTCATTTGAAGGGATCTAAGGATAAGAAAGTTGTGTTCAAATTATGAGTGGCACTTGTGGTAGGAAGACTTCTTCAGAAATTTTCTCTCCGTGCACCTCTGATTTTCTCCATCTTCAATTTTTCTTTTGATCTTTATTAAACTGATGACTCAATCTTTTTTTCTCTTTTAAGCCGTCTTAAATTGTTAGGTTTTAATACTTCACACAGAGCCTAGTAATTTAAAAATGTGACTCTCCTGTGTTCAAAAACTATTATGTGTCGTCTGCACAGTTAAGTCATCCAGTAAAGTTGCATTTAGATTCTATATTTTAACTCTAACACGAAAGGGATATCCTTAACTCATAAGCGCTTAGAATGCGGTTGCATTGGAAAAAGTGAACTGCTGAGAGGGAGGTTTCTCTTATCCAGCAGAGGTGATGCAAGACCTCTCACTGATTCAAATTCCTAACCTGGCAGAAGCATTTACTTCTTTGTCTGGGTTAATGACTTATATTGACTCTCAGAGGGCTCTGGCAAGTGTTTGAATGCAATATAAGGAAGGGATCAGAGCGTGGGTGAGAGATGGAAAGATGGCCTTTCAGCACGGTGATATTCAGCTCCACACAGAACTACAGCCTTTCCTAATCTATGAAGTTTGTACATGGAAAGTAGTTTACTCATGGGAAATTTTCCTTTTAATCATGATCATCAGGGTTGAAAAACCTACAACTGTTAGTATCTTGCATTTGGAAGTTTGCTGTAACACAGTGGTGGAAATCTACAGAGAAGGTAAATAACACCATGTTCCTTACGGAGCTGTTGGGTTCTAGTGTGGCAGAAATTGATAGAGTCTGAGTTGCAAGCACACAATTTAGGAGTTCTCCTAGAAGTCACCCTTATTTTAAGAAATTAAATATTTAAGTTCCCATAATGATCAGACGTGTTATTCTTACTTTCACAGTGTATTGATTGGTTTGTCTGATGGCAGTTAGGCTCTGTATACTAATCTTTTCTCAGTATTGTCTTTTTAGTGCCCACAGATTGAGAGGTTCTCAATAGGACTTGAATCCAGAACTCCTTCACTTGTGACTGGAGGGGAGCCTGCTAACAGCAGGTGTGCAGTGATCTGCATGCCAGCTCCTTTTATCGAAGCATCTGTGATGCAAGTAGATTGAAACCTCTTAACAAAGAGTGAAATATCATTAATGCTTTAAGGAACAAAACTTGGAAATAATCACCTGTTAACCCCATTGATTATTTTTTCTTCAAGTTTAAAAAAACACATTTGGAAGTGCTTAGATGGTTTTGAGTTGTTGCAGGTATTTTGGATATGTGGGTTGTAGCGCAAGCTAAGTGACAGGGATCTTGGAGGATGAACAGTTTTGCTGCTTCTTTTTGTGTCCTTACAAACTGTTGTTCTCCTCCAAAAGCATTATTGCCCTAGTCCTTGTGAACCTGATTTGAAAATCAGCTAACAGTGTATGCAGTCATTTTTCCAAAAAATGCCACAGACTTTTCTTCTTTCTTACAACTACCAAAGCTTGAGAGGTAATGTTTAGCAAGTGTTTTATTTGCACCCATTTAAAACAACTTCATTTGCTCCTCTCAGAACTCTGTCTTTTTGTCCGTGTCATGAGTTATAATGACCTCAATCACGAGACCTATTTTTATTTTCTTTGTAGGAGAGCTCTGATGTTGGTGGATAAACACATTCAAAATTGTATGCTATTTATGTTATCCAGGAGCTCACTTGAGTCATACAGCTGTGGAAGGGAGGAAGGGTAAGATATAGGCTAGATGGATCAAGCATGACTCTCAGCTGCCCACTTCCTCTGGCTATAGAGATTTATGTGAGAGCGTAATTTTTCCATCCTTCTGGTATAGACATCCAGGCCCAGAATTTTAAAGGCAGTTTGTTTATGCACCTAACTCCCACTGACTTTATCCTAGTGTGCACAAGTGTTTGTTTACATACAAATCATAAAATGTGTGAGAATCTAAAGTTGTGTCAGGGTACTGGGGGAGTTTCCATTCTTCTTGTCAACATTAGAACTTGGGAAATGTTTAAATACTAAGGATTTTTACTTGATGGACTGGTGTGGAAAGTATCTTATTGAATCTGAGGATACAGGAAGTATTGAAGGGCTTCAGGTGCCCACATGCATTTTTAAGTGTAGGAGCCTCAGGCCATGTTGATGGGCAGCAGCAAAAAAGACCCACTAAAAAAAAAAAAAAGGCAAAACGCAACCCCCCCTCCAAACTAGACCAAAAGTTTTTCTTGCTCAAGACTTGTTGCCCATGTCATAATGATGAATGCTATCAGCTTACTCCATTTTTTTCACTATGCAGATAATGTGAGGCTCCATAATGCTTGTAAAATCAACTGCCTGTTGCCCGCTTTAAAAAAGGCGGGGGTGGGGAGAAATAACTTGAACCCTGTGAATCAAACAAAAAGTGTCTTGACTCTGGCATGCCCTCAGACATTACGTCAGCACTCAGCCTTTTCTGTTGACATTACGCTGGTATAGGAGAGTTTCAGGAATGCACTGCTCACCGTACTGCAGACTGCTCCAACTCCCTATAAAGTTACAGCCTTCATTATGTTGAAGTCTGTGTGCTAAATAGCCCTGGTTAGGGACAGCCCAGTTTTTAGCATTATTACATGAATGTAACCCTTCTAAGAACAGGATTAGCTGTATAGGTGTCAGGGCTCTTACGTGGTTGTGCATTGCCTTTGTAAAGAAATGGAACTTTTTTTCTGTGTTGTTCTTTGTGTCATCTAACTTAAAGGCCATTTATCTCAGGAAGTAGTACTTACCAATGTTCAGCTTTAAAACCGAAAAAGAAGAAAGGGAATTATTCTTCTAAAGAATATATTGTGAGTTTCCTGTGCACACAAGACTTCTTAATGAATAGTAGTTTATTGCAGTCAGCATTTTTTTAATATATGAAAAGCACTCAGTGTGCGAATATGTTGCTGGCTTGGATAAAAAGAAAATCAGTGTCTTACTCGGTCTTCAATTGGCTTCTTCCGAGAATTACTGATGAGGTTGTATTTTGCTTTTTAACTTCATGTAAATGGAAGTTTAAATC